CATTATAACGCAAATGTTAAGCTTTACAAAGTCATTTAGAGCAACTTGCAAACCACCAGACTGCCCACTCTGCCTTCCTCTGCTCCCACTTATGCTGGGAGAAATCCGGAATAACTCAGTCAATCTCAGTAGAGATTTGTCACTCTGAAAGACACCAGCACGAGTCACAGATTTTCTAACTTCGGTTTGGATGAAAACCCAGGACTCATTCATCGTATCTCAGGGTATTTAGCATTGACTTTAATTAAGAACCTCCTCGCCGTGCCAAAACGCATGCAGATGCAAACTTCCGTGTTCAGTGTGCAACGCATCGCTTGAAAAAACTGCAACGCTACATTTACAGTCTGAGGTAGACGCACAAAGTAGGACCTGCCTGTAAAATTTCCCCTTGTTCTGCAAACTCTCTCTCTCTGCACTGCCCCAATATACCACAGTGCAAAAAACCACAGTCAAATCAATATATTCTTGGGAAGAAGGGGGCTGGTAGAGTGGTTTTTGAAGGCAAGCCAGAGAATATTCTAAACGGGGGACACACAGCGTGTTTTAACTGCTGTGATAATTCCGCATAAAGAGATGTTAAGGATCTAGCTCCTTGCCGTAGCATGCCATGTGTCCCTGAATAAAATTACTGCCATGCAGGCTGTTAGCAGAGGAATGCGTAAACAGACAATGTATCCTTGCATCAGTTCCACAAAATGTTGCACAACACAAATGCCTCTCGATGTGTCATTTCCTGCTTGGCCACCAGCCCAGCTCCTGACAGGCAAGTCAACAGAAAAAAAAAGGGGGGGGGGGGGAAGAAAAAAAAGAGAAAAAAAAATTTAAAACAAGAATACTGAAAGATTTAAAGCTGTTCTACTCCAAAGCACATTCCACTAGCCCCAGACTTCTCCCTCCACCCTCTGCCTTTGAAAGAAAAGAGGGAGAACTTCCTAAAAACTGTCATGGTTCTAAGTCAAGGAATCTCAAAAATCTCAATCACTTATCTGCGTTTTATAAGCCGGGTAGGCCAAACAGTTAATACAAAGGCTGAGCAGAACCTCTCACTGGCTTTCGCTGGCTTCTGCAGCGTGCAGACACAAAGGCGATGTTTGCTCATACCTTTCATCACGTGTGCACCTTGCAAGCTGCAGCGTCAGAGAAATATTCGGGAGCTGAACGAAATAGCGCGGTTTTTCTCCTACCGACACGCTTCACTTCAAAGCTCAGAACCACTTTTCCATTCAAGCTGATAGAGAAAATTGTGGTCGGTGACTTTGGAGACTACCTTTAATTAGAGACGAACTAAAGTCTTTGGAAGCCAGGCAAAATATAAAAATATATAGACTTCTCCTCCCTCCTTCCTCATGATTTCCCTCCTGACTGGGTTTCTACCAAAAGCAGCCAGAAAGGAGGACATGTCTCCTATTCTAAAGGTACCACTACGGAAGGACAAATCATTATTCCTGTATTTGTAATGAGGTAAGGCAAAGGCATTAAAGGGGGGCTTAGGTAAAGGTTTGGGGTTTTTTTTTATTTTATGTTTTTCTTCTTTTAATTCCTTTACAGTGATCTCTTGCTATCTGCTGGTCAGTTATGACCTCATGACAACTTATTTATCCGGAAAACTTCTTTCAGCCCTCCCAGCTGGAAGGCAGCTCTGCTGGCTAAGATGTGCATATGGCAGAGGTTTTGTCCTGGATATGAGGAGAGAAAAATATCTGCAGGATTTCCCAATGATTCCCAAAGATCTTATACAACCCCGTCTCTAGACTCCATCACTCAGAGTGCAATGCGCTCAGTCCAGCACAAAGACTGTGCAACACAGTAGATGTCCCTGGATGGTAATCTACATAGACTGAAACAGATAGTTAAAAATAAATAAAACTTTTCCAAGGAAAAATCATCAGAATACCTTTTCTCATAGAGAAATGGGCAGGTTTTCCTAACAGAGCAACCTGACATCACTGTCTCCATTAAAATATTTTAAAATAATACCAGAGGCAAGGCAGCAAGCTTCTACAAGCATATGTTTAATATGACTAAATGGCACTTACATTTAAGAACCTGACTTTCTGAAGTGCTGAGCATCCAAAACACCAACTGGAGTCACTGCATGCCATGACTGTTCAGCACTCTTAAAGTCAGGCTCTAAACGATTGTGATATCTGTCATGGTATTGCTGCTGCTCCTACTGCTGCTGGAAAGCACGCAGCATTCGTTCGCTCGAGTCAACTTGCCAACAGAAGGTCAGAGTGCCTTGCCTATAAACAAGCCTTACAAATTCACGATCTGAAGCATGATGTCATGTCTTAAAATGATAAGCTGGCAACAAAGTAAATGACATTTTGTAAAGATGTGCATAATTTTATGTTTACGCTACTTAGAATGAAGGTTCTAATAAGTCATCGGTTGTGTTCCTTTAAAGGGAAGTTTTATAACTGAGATGAATCACAACTGCAAAAGATCAAAGTTAAAAAACATCAATGATGCCATGGGGTACTTTTTAATCTTGTAATGAATGATGATCATGTGCTCTTATGAAGTTGGTCCAACTGCCAACGCCAGATGTGTATATTAAGAAAAAAGTTGTTTGTGATGTGACAGCTCTGCTTGAGCTGCCAGAGAGAGGAAAACTAGGATAACATGCTTGGGATGTCAAAGTGAAATACAGAGCCTGGCAGAGAGGGGCACTATTTGCCGATACATAATTTGTTAAGAAAAACACATTTGCTATCAGAGCCGCTCGTTGACTTGAATTCCTTATTGCCCCCAACCACCTAATTTTCCTCAAGCAATGTAAATGCCAGATACACTTCTTGAACAAATACTACCAAACAGTAATAAATCTACCCGAGTGCAGGGGCTCTCAGAAGGAAGCAGAACTTCAGTGAAACTCCCACAGCTCACTGGAGCTACCCTTTCCCTGAAAATTCAAGTTTAATAACTAGTTATTCTGGAGGTGTCATAGCCTTGAAACTATCAGACTGCAATAACAGAACTTGCAGAACCAAAATGACACCAGAGTAGAGCTTCACTAAGTATTTAGCCAAAATATTAAAATTCAGGTCGGCATTCAAGCTCAAATTTGGCTTTCTTTTAAAAAAAAATAAAGATTAAGAAAGACACAATAACCCCATCTCGGCTGTAAGAACTAAGTTACTGAGCATTCCTAGGTTCAGCTATTCAATGAGAATAGCAGACAGGTATCACGTACAGAGGCCTTTCAGGTCTAAACTAAAAAACTCCAGCAGAACTTGGAAATCTTATTAATTTATATGAACACAGCCTCGCTTTTAATCCATTGATCACCAAAACGGTTAGTCCCAATGCAAGCAGGTTCCCTTTCTGTGCTACACAGCGTAGTCCACGCTATTCTCCGCATCATTTTCAAACTGCTCTGCTCTTTCACAGGGGTTGTGTCCTCTGCTGGGAGAACTCTTCTTTTGGGGATGCCTCAATACATACATGGAAGCAGCCTCCAAATGGGAATGGCTAAATGATATATAACTTATTCTCTGGTTTTTACTGCATGAATGCAGTTTGCCCAGTGTCTCCAAGTAAGCTACATGGAGCAGCAGCTGCAGGTGAAAATTAAAAATAGGAACTGATTCAGCTCGGGAGAGAAGACAGAACAAAAGTCCCCTTGCTGTGACAGATGGACACCTCAGCTGCGAGCAGGTAGCAATGCAAGTATCTATGTAATGAAATTTATCCATAGCTACTTGCTTTTTCTTATCTGTTATTCAAGGTGAAACTCTACAGCCTGGACAGTTCTTACAGAAGGCATTTCAGTTCCTGTCTCTCCGTGTAAGAGGAGGTGACACCACAGCATCTATTAGCACAAGGAACACTTAACTGCGTGAATTCTGTCTACGACTTTCTACTTCTTCTGTCTTTGTGGTATTTTAAACAAAACTCCATGAAAGCTCCTTAAGGGTCTCATTTGTATGTGCAGATCAAAGGCAAAATAATTATTTGAGATGCTTCCATTACAGGGATTTTTTTAATGTGGGTTATTCATCAAATAGTTCTTAATCTCTAAATGTAATTTAAATACAGCTATACCTGGTTAATCCAATCAATTTAGAAAGAATCGCTCCAGTTAGATTAAAAAAAACTCCAGAACTGGCTCATCGGTGATACCCATATGATATGAGACTGGTAACCAGCTAAATGTGCTAGACAGAGAGACAGACATATAAATCATGAGGGATTAACCAGACTTGACTGTATCTAAAAATAGGTGCTACCCATAAAACTGCTAGAACATGACAAAACAAAATTGTCATAAAAATACAGCCAGTGATCATTGCAAATAGATTCTTAGTAAGTTAGTAAGTGCACTGCTATGCGGTAAACATGCTGAGTGAAAATCTGCTGGGCTAGGTTTAAATAAAATGTATATTCTGTGCACAAATAAGAAACAAAGACCACGCTGTTGATACACTGGTTTTTTATCTTTCTTTGGCCCCCAGGGGTCTATGATGAGTCCATAGCTGAAAACCAATTTCAGGTATGATGAGATTAACCAGGTGCATTAATTATCTGATGGCAAAAGAATTTAAGGGCAAACAAAAAGGCACTATATTATATATTTTCTCTCTGCGCAAGGACTGATCCTGAAAGATCAGTCTCTTATTTTGTTCTAAACATCTTCAGTTGGAAGCTTACGGGAGTTAGTTTAGGGAATTCAGCATGTTGCAGGATTGTATCTGTTATGCCTAAATCAGATTATATATAAATACAGTGGGTTTAGTTCTCATTTACACTGACAGATAATGTATCAAGACCTTGATGTGAATGAGAATCAGGTTTGTGATTGCCCAAATTCAGCCAAGCACTTAAGTGTATGTTTAATGCAAGTATGTGTGTGGTCCAATAGACTCCAAATTAAGCATGCGCTTACATATTTTGCTGAGCAAGAACCAATGTTTGACAAAGATATATATTTCATTTATGGGTCTCTGTTAAACAAAATTAAGCAGACGTAAGTGCAAAAATAAGAATATAATACTCACTTCTTGGCTCCCTTGGCCCATCCACTGTAACCTTTATAGCTCTGTGGTATGTAGCGACTTGGGGGGGATTTGTCAGGACAGTTATTGTCAAAGTAAAGCTCTTCCCTACAAAGGGAAAAAAACAACAAAGAATGAGTGATTACAACATGAAAACAGTCACATGCATGTTCAGTAAAGAATCAGAGACGTTTAAAATTATTCCCTGTCGTTACCACAATCGTGAAAATTAAAAACATAACTGACCATAGGAGTTTTCCTCCCCTTTAGTTTTACTCTATGTCAAGAATATGTCCATGTGTTGACAATCTAAATGTTCCTTATTTAATAATGGGTCATCATACAATGACAGAACAAAAGTGATTCACTGCTGAGGACAAGCCAAATTCTTTGCTGTATTGAAAGTGGTGTAAATCCAAAGCAAGTCAGATAATTTAAAAATTTACTCCAGTTTTGCAGCTGTGTGACAGAGAGCAGAATGTGGCCACATGTTATTTACTTCACACAGTTTTATCATTTCATTTGTTTGACTTGACTACAATAAGATGAGGAAATAATGTATTTTCCTCCTGGGAGTTATTTTAACAGGGAATCAGTGTCTCCTATCCTTCGTATGCCAGGGGTAATACGATGATATCATTATTATGGAACAGACTTTTTTCCCCTACATACATTCCATCTATGAAATACTAAGAAAGCCCCCAACTTTCGTGAGGGTGAGAAACTGCTGTGTGCACGTATGTGGCTATTGTAAGTCTGCATTTTTTTTTTTATTTTTCCAAGTTCAAATTCACGCAGAGATTGCACAAGATCATCCGCAGCCTTTAGCTGAATGAAAACATTAAAAAGAAATAAAGCACACATTCTCACAAGGCGCTGGCCCCCGTTTGGGAGACTCACTGACAGTTGTAATCTGTTAGATATGCAACGGTTAGTCATGTCAGATAGTCAAAACTGAAAACTGTTTCAAGACAGGAAAAGGTGGGCGTACAACAGTGACTCAATAAAACAGTCAGCAATCTTCGGCCTTCATGCTCATTTAAGCTGCTACTTTACCAGACACTTAAAACTCTCTTTTTTTCCCCCCCCTCCCTGTGTGTATGCGTGCATTTTTGTTGCTAGGGCTTTTCCTCTTGCTGAACTCTGAAGGCATTCAATCAAGACACAAATCTTAAACGATATGTAACAGCACAAACTTAATGCAGTTTTTTTGAGCCTAATATAGAACAGCTTATATATAAGGCATAATACAGAACAGAGCTTTGGCTGTCAAATCTAGTAATTGGTCTTTCTTTCTGGTCCAAGTCGTATATCCCCCAAACCTGCCTGAGACACGCATCATTTATTATCAGGAGTGCAACTTCAAACTGTCTTGGCTATATTTTTCACGAACTAGAATGTGACACAGGTTTTTTTTAAGGAAATATAACTGTCATTTAGAGTAAAATGATTTTCCAGGTGTAGCTGCGCTCCAGCTGTGCCCACCACTCTGAGAGATGCGGGGTAGAGGGGAGGTCAAGACCCCAGCAAAGGTGCAAAAATCTCAGGAGGCTGAATTCTGCCTCAGTGGAGACGCATGGCTGAGGGTGGCTTTCCCCAGTTTCATTGGGAAAGGGATTATTTCTCAAATCTTTTGAGAGCGATCATCACAGGAAGAGAGTTAGGTGTATGTAGGACGTCCAGTCTTTGCCCAGTCCTGCCCATCCGCCGTCCCCAGAGGTAAACTGTGTGTCCTGCCAGCGTACAGCGTGTGCGTAGGCAGCCTTCAGGCATACAGCAACAGCCCCACCGAAGCGCACAGTGCCTCCACGCCTGCCTGTTTAGGGCTGAAAAGGGTCCGTGCCTTTTATCCCTCTCCAAGCAGGAATTCAGCCTATTGCTTGGATATATATAAATTCGTCAGGGACAGGTTTAAGGCCTCCTTCAGTGCCAGCCTATCATGTCAAAAAATTCTGACTATTAAATTGTGTGATGGCGCCATTCAGATCACAGTTACCCATATAAAATCAGTAGAATATTATTGGTAACAAAGATACTAAAGGGATTTTCCATATACTTTGAATGAAGAATTTGGCTTTCCAATTTATATGCCAAAAAGTATAAAAGTCTATCATGACTAAAAATTAACCGGACAAAATATACTGTAAGAGCCTTTAAAATCACGTCTGCGTAATTTTCTACACTAAATATATCTCAACAGGGTACAGTGGACAGAAAAACTGCGCTCAATATATAAGGGCTACGTTTCGACCTCTGCCTGTGATCACTTCTAAACTGTCACCTCTCAGCCAGCCTAAGGTGCACAGGTAAGCATCTAATTTGAAAGGGAAACTGTTTTTGTTCCCTAACTGGGATTCTACCAAACAGAAGCACTAATGAAGTAACAGTGATGAAGCCCCCTCACACTCAGTAAACAATACATCACTTCATCGTGGGGAGCTGCGCGGCCATGCCAGCGCACTCAGGTTCCAGAGCTTTCAAGAGATGATTTACATATTACAGGATTAAGAACAAAATAAATTTTTAAGGTCCCCCGTTTCAGTGATGCTTATGCCTTCCACGGATATTTCACAGACATCCCTCCTCAGCTACGAAATCCTTTAATGCACTTTTTATCACCTTTCTTTATTGCCCTTAGTCATTTCAACTATCCACTTTTAGAGGCTAAAGACTAATTGTAGTTCTCTTTCATTAAACTCCCCAGCCAAGCAGTCATCTGGCACTATTGCTTCAGTGTGTCTAAACTGTGCATTCTTTGTTATTCACACATGTGAGCCGAGCTGACACAGAGGAGGACGAGATGGACATATGCTGAAGCACAAGGCAAACCCCAGAAATTAGCTTGAAAGGAGACTCGGCAGCTTGTGTGTGTTGCATATTTTTTCAGTTAGATGCTAATGTGATTAAAGTATCAGGACACAACAAAATTAAGGTTATGATCCTTTGCTTATTGAAGACAGGAATTCTTTCTTCTCTGTGCTGTGGATCGGGCTTGTAAAAGTGAGCTACCGCCTGAAAACCACATACAAACAACTTCTGCATTCACATAAAGCACCCCGGTTACTTATTCTTATGAATCCAGAAAAGGTGTTTAAGAGAAATTATACAAACAAAAACGTGAAGCTTCTGTCAGGCAAGCAACATTAATATGTATAAAAATCAAGTTTCTCCATTGAGCCCTGGGAAGCAAGAAAAAACGTGGGAGAGGAGGTGAAGTGGTAAGTTGATGATTCAGACTTCACAATCAACTTTAGAGATACAGAGATCAAAGAGCGAGCTGTTTAGAAAGATGTAAATCTAAAGTCAGGAACAGGTGTGGATTAGTTTCTCGCCACTGAAAAATGATTTCTTTATTACTTTATTTTTCCTGTTCTACTTCAAGACCTGTATCTACTGATATTTGTCTATGTAAGGAGCTTTCTCACTTCTGGTTGCAACTACTGCTTTCTTTCCCTGCTATTTTAAGCAGAGTTCTAAAAATCTATCATTAATGATAACTCTTTCTCCTTCTCTCCCTCTCTCTCTCTCCCCCTCTCTGTTCTAAGTCTGGAAGACAAGTCTGGACCAATTTCTCCATCCTGCCTCTGGCAGCAGAATGCAGCATTTCAGATCCTCCACCGAGTCCCGGCTGCTTCAAAGGAAAAGCCCTACTTTCTTCCGTTAAGATCATAAGAAATATAGGGGGAGGGGGTCAGCTCTGTTTGGACATAATTACACTTCATCAAAAGAAGCTTTCTTCATCTTCCATGCGTGAAAAGTCTGCAAGCAGTTAAGTCTGTCTTTTTTCTTCCTTTTTTTTTTTTTAAATATAAAAATTGCTATTTGGGAAACTAGCCAAAACTCAGAAAGCCAATATAGTAAAACAGTGCACACCCTTTGTTTTTCTTTGAAGTCTCTTAAATAAATATGTTGAGGGTTTGAAAAGTACACTATCGCTTTTCCATAGATTCTACCCAGATTGATCAGAGAAAAAGTCTATTCCAAGTCTGCTAGATGCAAATATAAATTAAACTACTGGAACCAAATTTTAGGAGGTTTCTGTTTGTATGTGTCTGTAGCCGTATCTACTGAGGCTTTAGGCCCTCTATTTCATTTCCTATGCTTTAATAAAAAAGTATATATCATAGGTTTCAAATGAAATTCACAGATCAGAAGTACTACATCACATTTCAGTTCTTTTTCAGCACTACTGAAACACTGATACACTACTGAACTTTTACTGTAAGGCAGCAGTAGTGATGGAGCCAGAAAACTTTCAAACCTAATCCATCAGCAGAATAACAAAGCAGACTGTTTTTTTTAAAGAAAGCAAGACAAATGGAAGATATAGGTAACTCCTTATCCAAAAGCGCAATAAACTCCATATTTATATTGCATTACTTTTACGATAGTTATTCTGTGTTTCAAGTTATTCTTTATTATCGATACTTTTCAAGTTGTAAAATGATAAAGAGAATTGTTGGCCAGGTCACTAAAATAAAAAATAGCCATTGTAAGCCATGCTTATGGAATCACTTTCACAAAGCACTTGCAATTGTAAAAGTGGGCCAACTGATTTAGACTATCTAAGCCTCTGTCGTATATTTAATTTTTCTGGGACAAATACTCTTTCCTTCCTTAAGATGAATTACAACTGCTTTCTAAAGAATATTACTGTAAAATTAGCTTTATTGCTGATTTCCCAACACAGTTGTTCAACTTCTATTGCTTTGTTTTGGCCCATGCAGGGCTAGTTTAAAAAATGAATAATTACTTCAAATACATAAAGGAAAAAATATGTAGGTTGAATCAACGACTGATACAACAAATCCCTCTGAAGATTCCTGCAGCAAAAACTGAAGTGCCACCTTCCTTCAAGCTATCTTTTCAATCATTACCTCCAATTTGAAAGCAGCTACAAGACTCTTAAAGAGGAATTCTTGCAGACTTGCAATGATTACAAAGTCTTTCTATGAGTGCAGTGCAGTTTTCCAGATTATAGGAAGCTCCTAAACAGCTGGAAGACAATGACAGCACTCTACATCTTAAAAAAAAAAAAAAAAAAAATTAAAGTTACCCTGTAATTTAAAGTAAAGGTTAAATTTAGTTCAAGTCCAAGCTTACCAGCAATTCATAAAAAGTCAACCAGTTTACTAAAAAGAAAACTATGGCTTATTTTTGCAGGTCATACGCAGTTTGATTGTAAAGGGCAAGGAAGTCACTAGAAAGCTTTCCACCAAAAATTGTAAGCCCTTGAAGATGTAAGCCCTTAAAGAATATAACCTATAGCACGTGATATGCAAAATCCCCTTAATTATAGGTCTTTTACAACAACTTCAGAAGCAGCTCTACTGCTAAAGGGAATTCTCCATCTCTCATTACCATGGCCTGAGATACACTCTCTGACTACACATAACTCAGATCACCAACACCCCCACTTCCTTCTACCTTTACTGTGTGATTAAAATAGGGAAGCAGGTATTCTGTGAATCATTTTTCAAAACCTGTGTCTCATGAAAACATACAGAGACATGAGGAGTCAGAAAAACTTAAGAGAAACTCTTAACTTGGTTTCCACAAATGCTGAAGTTTGCAAATACAGCACGCGTTCATCCCTCCAAATGAAAGGCCGACAACGATTTATTTACAAATTAATCAGTATTGCATTGCAAAGTAAGTCTGACGTCTAGACATTGTTCTTGCTTCATTATGGACACGTAAAATGCAGCCGCCTACCTCTTCCACTTCTGCCCACAAATCGTAAGTCATTAAATCTGGCCACCTGGTTCTTCATCACAGCAGAAGCGTTTCGCAGCTCTGCAGAGTAGTTCTCATCGTTTCCAGCCATGACGGTGACCACCGTCCCATCAGGCACTTCTCCTAAGGCCACCACCTGTTAAAAGGGGAAGACAACCACAACTCGTGAAGCAACACTTTGAAAACGCGTGTCTCCATCCCAGCTTTGCAGGCTGCCATGCTCATTACGAAGCTCTGTGGCAGCTTCTCCAGCCCGCTGTGGTGAAGAGTCATGTATTAGCTGGACACAGAACAAAGTGCCACATCAAACAAAGAAACATCTTGTATTGTCTCCCTTTCTCATAGTCTAATAGGGAGTTTCTTCTTTGTTACATTTCTTCAGAAAAATTCAACATCTTATGTAGAGTGTATGGTTTAATGCTTCCTGAAGGCCAACTTTGTTCTTAGCAACCAGTGAGCAGCGAGAAAACATGAGGCATGGCTCATATCCATAAATCATACGCGGGAGAGCATTTGAAATGGAAAGTTAGAAATTACTATTAGCAGCCATATCACCCAGATTCGGTTGTACGTCCCTGCTGGTTGCACCCATCACTGACCCTGGAGCTCCTCACACTTCAAGCTAGAGAGAAATCCCCATCTACCCATCTCAGGAGAGGCACCGGGGGCATTAGCAGACAAAGCTCCCCACCCAACACGCTGCTGCGTCGGAGCACTTCATGGCTGGCATTCAAACTCTTCAGATGCATATATAAAACAAAGGCTGTATTTCCTCGCAGGCATGTAAATTTTCATAGCACTCGCAAGAGTTGCATGTGGTTAGTGCCGATACCTCCCTCACATTCCAGGACGGGTGAAGAGAAGATATTAAAGTATTTCTCCTTACGTTTCAGCTAGCTGATAGTCTCGCTTTTATGCTTCAGTGGTTGTGTAGTGCTCCAACATCTGATTAGATAAATGCCACGGAGTAGACAGCTCCTGTCTTCTAATTTGAAAACACCAGGGATACCTACAGTGTTACTGCACTGTGACTTTTAAAAGTAAAAATCAAGTTAAACAGGAATGCTAAGTTACTAGGAAGAAAACATATGTTTCTTCACATCGGGTAAAAAAAAGTCCACAAAAGTATCAAGAAAATAATTTCCTTTTGCCCAGTTAGCTAATACTGATGCTGGAAATAAATTTATAACAAAAAGAGATTCACAAATATTGCATGGCTGAGCCCTAACTTGAAAAAAAACCATCTTGAGATACAAAGTCTGTACCCTTGCAGTTTCTACCATGGTCAGATATGACTTTTTATATTATTCAGAGTAATTTATTATGTCTCCTGAAATACATATTACATTTTGTCATAAGCCCTGCTTGAAACGTCTTTCCCATAAATGATCCTGTCTGAAACTAATAATTGCAGGTTGGACTTTAATATTAATTAAGTGGAAAGAACGAGGAGTTCTGAATATATAGGGAGAGCATTATGTGGCCCAGTGCACTGTACAGTGTTTCTCTAAAACAATAAAAATTAATGACAAAGGTATACAAAATCTGAAAATATTTAAAATAGACTATATTACTGAAAATTATAGCTTGTCTTATTTAAAAGAAATATTGAAAAGAAAGAAGAAAGCAAAGCTGAAACGCTGTATAAAAAGGATGTACCCTGGTGCCTTTCTGTTTTTCCATAAAACACCAGGTAATACCACCCAAAACTGTAAACTGAGTTTTGCCACAAAACACTTTGAGGTCTCCGCCTATCAAGTAAAGATTTTACTTTAAAGTGATATGAACGTCCCTGAACAGAAAAACACAGGAACCACCGTTGTGGATAAGATCTGAGGTCCCCCTAGCTCACTGCCTTGGGTCTGACAGCAACCAGGTCTGACGGCTTCGAAGTGAGGTGTAAGAATAATAAATAATAACCAAATAACAAATAATAATCTGCTGAACAGATTATAGAGCTGACTCTGACCCTTAATAAATGGATATTGGCTTAAACTCTAAAGCGTGGGGCTTGAGGCTACTTATAAAACACTCCCTTCCCAGTTTGCGATAGACCACGCTATCTCTGGACAGCCTTAGCATCCAGGGGAGTTGCAACCTATGCTTTTTATATCTCACGAAACAAAAAAAATATCACATTAACTCCAGAAATGCAAAGAAGCTGAGAGCACAGGAGGAAGTGCGAGTCTGCCAGGGGCCTCGGAAGAGGGAGCGAAATGACGGCAGCCTCAGCTCACCTCCTTCTCTCTAGGTAACCAGAGCACGGAGCAGGCAGCAGCATCACATCTCCGTCTCAGCCCGTCTCCCGAACACGGGTACAGCTTGCAACACCTGGGCGTGAGGCAGCAAAACCTCTTAAAAGGCCCCCCCTGTCCCCCGCCGCTTCTCAGAGGTTTCCTCCCTACCCTTTCCACTCGACGATGTCATTTCAATTTGTCAGCTTAGACATCAGCCTGAAACTGCACGTGCCGCTGCCAGAGTCACTGGGCCGATCACGCCTGATCAAGAACTGCGTCATTGCTAAAACGCACCGGCTTTTTGATGCAGTATGATGCAATATCGCTATTCGTCTCAGTAGGAGAAGCCCGAAGGAAAAGGCAAACTGAAATCAGAGGTGAAAATAGATCTTTGGCTAATAAAAGAAAGTCCTATTACATGGGAAGCTCCCCTGCTATGCAACAGGAGTAAAATGCTTGTTCTTTTCATAATTTCGTACTTTTCTGCCATGAAATACCAGAAGGCTATTGCACATATACATAACAGCGCTGGTTAGAAAAAAGCTTTGCAAAACAAGTTTGAAACCTGGAGAAATACACACCATTTTGAGAATTTTAAAAAGTAACTTTACATACCGAAAGACTGTTAGCATAAACCTTGACTTGGTAATTTTATGCCACATATCAATCCAAATTTATTTACATATTCTTAGAAAGAGGATTGTAAGTGCACTGTGAAATGAATAAGGACTGCGTAAAAAATTAAAGATTAAAAGTAGGCACAGTGCACATTCCTTACCTATTCTTCAAACATAAATAGCTCTAGTATTTCAAAATCTTTATTTTCCATATTAAACTACCTACACATTTTGGTGATTAAAGGTAGATTTTGCTTTTGCTTTTTTTTTAGCTAAAGCTCCAAAAGGTACATGAAGTCAGATGAAACCACAAAATAAAACCAAACCAATTCTTACAAGTTGAAAATAACTATGTATTTTTTGCATAGCACAATTCTCGTCTGGTTAGGCAACCTGCTTGCCCAGTTTCGGTCCAGTGGGATTTGAACTGGCCAAAGTATGTACCCTAAAGACGGAAGTCATAAGCACGAAGCAAAACTACTATACAACAGCAGGTACTAAGACTTTCTGCAGAGTAAAATGCTTGTTTCAAAAAAAAGCTGGCTTACATGCTAAATAGTTCCTCTCAGACATCGATATCTACCACTTCAACAACTTTTCTTGCGAAACACTGAATTCAAACAGCCTCTGAATGTAAAATCTTCCGTATTGAGAACGCCTTCTCCAGAGATTGCCAAAAGAGCATCTGATACTATTAAAAATATTTTAATGTTCTGTAACTTAAAACAGAATAACTGATTTGCACTACTTTTTGTTTCAAAATATACATCTGGGCTGACAATTTATACAGCAGGTTTCAGCTTGAAGCTATTTAAAACAGCTGAGTTACAAACTCTGAAAATTGGGGTTTGGAGTGGAAATGCTGACAGACCCTTAACTACTGTGGTGCTACTGGGGAGAGGTTTTAGACTTCACGTCCCTTTTTCTTCCCCTGCCTTTAGGTCCACTAAGGCTCTTTGCTACCATCAGCATCATACAGAAGCCACTTGTAACACCTAACGTGGCAGTTTGGGTCTTTATGACTTTCAGTAAAAACTCCCAGGCAGACACATAAACAGAGGGCCAAATCCTGACGAGTCTACTCAAATAAAAGTACCGCTGGCTATTAGGATTAAGAAGTGAATATGATGTGGACCCGGCTGCACAAAATCTGTTTCTTTTATGCTGGAATATCACTAGATAGTTAGAGCTATATTAATAGAAAAAAAACTCTTGCCCGCAAAACCACTTTGCATTAACAATCTTATTAGTTAGTACTCTCAACATGGACTCCCTCCCCAGTGCGTGTACGTATAAATACTTAAAATTCAAATCTAATACTAAGCCAACATTATTTCCAAAAATTATAATCAAACCCAGCACTGTTTATAACATACTTCCTCTCCTGCATATGATTTATATCTGTTTTTTTAAATTAAAACAGTGCTATATCCAGAGTACTTTTTAACTAGAGATCTCTGCGAGAGAATTATGACACACTTAAAACACCACTCAAAACATTATCATCAACATATTATTTATTGCCAGTAAAACTTCAAAAAGTGTGTTGTCTGTGAGCTATTTTACTTTCAAGTTACTGTTTAGCCGAGATTTCTATAGCCCAAATCTGTCTTTTTTTTCCTTTTCAGAGATAATTCCCATTCTGTCATATCACAGTCAAGTGTTTCACTGTATGATACATGCAGCTTCTTTGGTCTAAAAGGACTGGACAGCTGCATGCAAGTTACATTTGGAAAATGAAATCCTTTTTTTAAAATGGTCAAAACTACTTCAACTGAGTTTCAAAATAATTCACCAGTAAATAAGGGCGTATATCTCTTTGGCATATTTTAAAAAGTACACCTCGCATACTGCATGTGAAAACACAGATGCACCCACAGCGGAAGGCTGCAAGGTGCAACGTGTACTCCTGATGCATCAGTAAATCGGTCAGATCTACACCTCCCTGTCAGCAATCAAATATAGGACCCAAATATAAGACATGTATAAATATATATATATGAACACAAAAAGATTGGGAAATAGTCTAATCCTTTTTCTATCCTTTTATCACATGTAAGTATTCTTATTGTAATAATATTCTAAATACTTTAATATTTAGTTTAGATCTTTCCCTTATTCTAATGACCTGCGACCGCATCCTTTGAATTGCTGTAAGGTAGGAGAAGGCTCAGACGTTTCAAATGAAAACTGCAATGCGAGTACGATAACGTAAGAGCTCTCCTGCCTCTTCTGTAAAGAGTAACTATAATACCAACTTAATCTAACGCTCAATTAAACTACAATCAGAGTTCTCCAAAAGCTCCTCCTCCTTACCCCGCAGCCCCTGTGAATCAGAATCACCGTGATCCACACCTAGAGAGCCTTTGAGTGCTACGCCGAGTTACGGAAACAGAAGACACCCCATTTTTTCTGCCATTTCTACTTAGTCTGACCATCACGACCGTTTGCACCAGGCCCTGTGCAGAGGGTTCCTCTGCAACTCCAGGCTCTCCAGGCTGCTTCCCCCATGCGAGAGCGCTTTAGCCAACTCTAATCTGTATCCCTATTACGTTTTCGAAGCAAAGCTTCATCTTTATCACCAGTCACTTTAACGCCAGCTCATTTAACCGCTTCTACTAATTTTTCCCGGATAAACAGCCATGATAACACAGCTAGCAACCGGGAAACACAAGAACAAGGCGACGTTCTGGGAACGCGCTGGGTGAGACCGTTTCCAACCTCTTCTACCTTCTGAGTGATTTCCAGGCGCATTATTTTTCACGTAGCGGGTGCGAGAGCGATGAGCCCCTCGCAGGGCCACCCCACCCCGGCTCCGACCCCGTGCCCCCCCCCCTGCTCGGGCAGGTGCTCTGGCACACCCAGGCCATCGCCCTCTCCCCACCAAAGGCCACGGGAGAGAAAACTCCAGGGGCAACGCTTTCAAATATTGCTAGGGGAAGAAAAGGGCTTGCTTTAAAGCACACAATTATTGTTGTTGTTATGACAGTTTCTAAAAAAATCTTCTCCTCTCATTAGCACGCCGTGGGGTTGTAGACAGAAAATTAAAAGCAGCATCCCCGGTGCAGATCGGGGTGGTATTTATTATTTAAACGTGCGAGCCCTGCCAAGGAGAGCGTCTTCTGGCCAGACACTTCCTCGCTTGTCCACCAGGAGAAGGGAGGGGGCCCCGTTCCCCCCCAGGAGCCCCGTCCCCCCTTCACAGCCACATCTCAGCCCGGGCTGCCTCTGGGGTAGGGGGCAAAGCCCCGCCCCCCCCTCTCCCACCC